TCAAAACCTCCTATACACGTTCGACCTATATATGAATGTATATAGCTCACACTGCTGGAGGCAATGGATGACGAGCAAGATGAAGAGGAAGCGGCTGAGGTGCGGGGTGATACTTTAGGTCTACAGGGGCTGTGGAATTCGAGTCAACTAGTGATACCAAGTCATTTTTGAGAAGGTATATGTACGCTGGCTTTCCATCGCTAGGAGACCGCAACCACCCAGGAAGATTTGGATGGCGAGGAAGCCGGAGACAGCGACCTTGAGATTTTAGAAGTTGTTGAGCCTAAAGCCAAGTCAAAACCAACCACGGATATTGATGCTTTACGGTTGCAACTGCTACACCTACAGCGAGATCTAGCCCAAAAGCTTTCAAAACGAGGTGCATCTAATGGAGACCTGCTGGTTTGAGAACCTTTTCAAAAACAACCATAGAAAGCGTCAATATCAGTTTATTTAAGGTTGACCCTCCGCACTCCCTCCAGGTGCTTGCGCAGACCGTGCAGAAGCTTTTCCACGATCGGCCAAAGCTTCAGCTCCAGGTCCAACGCCTGTGCCGGAGCAGGAGGTCTGTGATTTCAAGTTTACAGCAATTCAAATGGAATCTTTTGATTACAGTAGCTGTTTATGTAAAGGTTGCAGCCCTGAATTTATACAGCCATCATGCAGGACACGCAGCTCTATGATATCGCTGAAGCTGAACCGGGCTCTTCCCCCAACGTGGCCCCCAGCTCAAAGAGGAGAGGGTACTTTGCAGGGAGAATGCATAGTGCGGTCATGCAGGCAAGGGTGCATGTTACATTGCTGCATAGATTGTTTTTTCTGTAGGCAGTTATTGCTATATGGGTCACATGTATAGTGCGTGTGTGTGTGCGGAGGTGGCAGCGAAGAAGGGTGAAGCAGCCGCTGCAGAGAAAAAAACTCGCTGAGCCAACACCGGCTCTGCCTAAGGCAACACCGGCTGAGGCAACGCCGGCTGAGCCGGAGAAGCCGGCAGAGCCTATAGAGGTAGACCCGGAGATGCAGCGCAGGCTGCGCCATGAGAAAAGTGAGAAAAATGAAAAAAAAAGGAAAAGGAAAAACCAAACCAAAAGCAAAGGGATCAGCAAAGGCCAAAGCACACCCAAAGGCAAAGGCCAAAGCACACCCAAAGGCTAAGGCCAAAGCGCACCCAAAGGCTAAGGCCAAAGCACACCCAAAGGCTAAGGCCAAAGCACACCCAAAGGCTAAGGCCAAATCTGTGAAAAATGATGGCAGCAAGGACCCCGACCAAGATGAAGCCCCCGAGGCAAACACAACCAAAGCCAAAAAATCCAAGGGTTCGAACAAAGCCCCAAAAGAAGATGTTGAAGAGAATCCCATTGAGTCCAACGGCGTCAAGGCATCGGCCAGCAAAAAGGAAAAGAAAAGTGAAAAAGTTGAGAAACAGCCACAAGAAACTCACAAGGCACCGAAGCGTAAGAAGGGCAACGATGATGATGACCCTGAACCTACTGGAGCAAGTGGGTCAAATCGCCCCCTAGGTTGCCCAAAGTGTAGGTGGAGCAAGCTGGTAGGTTGCAAGCAATGCCGTGACCCCACCTACATGCCACGGGCCAAACGGCCTGTAGATGTGGACTAGCGTTTCAATTTTGGGGTGGATCATCCGCTGGCGCGGCGACAGCTTTACATGTACATGTGAGATTTGATACAACCCTGAACCGTTCTATATACGTATAAAGATATTGTAAATATACACATCGCGTTTGTGCATCGTGACATTGTTTCGAACCACTCCATGGTAGCCGGCCTCAAGAGATATCCAAGGGGAAGATCTGCAATACGATCGTAGCCTCAACGGGTTGCGCATGACCAAGCGTGTCATGCTTCACCAACTCAACTGGTGTGAATCCCAAAAAGGTTTCATCGCAGAGCTTGGTTTGTGTATGTTTGTTTACAAGGCCATCAAACAAAGCTCAAAAAACACAAAAAGCGCATAAATGTAAATGCGTACACACATATACATACGTGTGTCGTCCCATGCCAGCCAGGTATACCCGTGGATATTCCTGGGCCTACACTATTCATCTCAACGCGTCCTGGAGGTGGGGGACGTAAACTATAGTTATAAAGAGCTGACCTGTCACGCACTGCAGTAAAGGCTTGTGCATTCACTTTTGTGGCAGGTTGGTTCCACGCTGGTTGCGACTGCGATTTGTTAGAGGCGCCCAATGCTTTCTGTTTAAACTTCTGTGTTCAGCTAGTGAGTGCTGCGTGTAGGCTCGACCATGGTGGGCTGCCAGATCCATGTTCAGGCTCATGAGGCTTGAGCTAACAGCCAAATGTTTATTGAAGTTGGATTTTAAGGGCCAGCTTTAATGTCCTTGCATCAAGCCATTGCATTGCAGGTGGGCCATCTAGCTGAGGGATGAGCAGGGCGTGGCGAGTTAGGAAATCTTTCTTGAAGCCAGGCCTGGCCAGACCCGGGCACGTTCGTCTTCCATATGATCAGGTGTTGTTGAACGTGCGCTGTGAACATATTGTGTCCTTTTTGCAGCTGTTCCCGTTCATGATGCAGCGTGTACATGCAGGTACACAATGACTACGCATGCATGTGCTACAACTCGTGCTGTTTGTGTTTTGCGACGGGACACGCAGCCATGGAGACTTCTTATGACGATTCTGGATATTGGAGGCCCTGGCGTGGCCTGCCTTGATTTAGATCCCCTAATGCACGCTAGTACATGTTGACTCATACTTCGAGTTTGCTGCGCTGAGACTATAGGTCTTGGTGATGGCGCTTGCCATGTTGATGGCTGTAGCTCCGCCAAAACGGAAGGCCTGACACTTTCTACATGCGGTTCTGTATCGAGCTTTTGAGTTTACACGAGTTTACCACCTGCCATGATATTCCTGGCCCAGGCCTTGCAAGCATTGGAATTGTTTGCAGGCCGTTCGGTCGTGACACGCTGTTTTCGCTCTAGGGGTTTCAGAGCAGCAGCCGTGGATGTGGAATACTGGCCGAGCTACAACGCAAGGGCCAAGTCAAAGGGTAGGAGGCTTCCTAAGAAAAACTTCTTTGATATTACGAGCCCGGAAGGATTCTGTGCAGCGGTGCTTGCTTGCTTGTCCTGCCAATCAGCTGGCCAGGTTGTGGTCATCGCAGTGGTTTGTTCCAGCTTTGTATCCATCAGCAGGGGAAGCACAGGACGCTCCTACCTTAATCCCTGTGGCTGGAAGCATGTTTCCTCGGTCGCTCTGGGGAATTTGCTGGCTGCAAGGCCTGGTTTGTGCCCTTGCTTGGGGATTTGGCCTCATGAGAATTCTAATCCGCAATTTGGCCTGCTCTAGCTTTTCCGTGCTTGCTGCAGGGTGGCCTTGCTCTGCTTCATTATTCACGCCAATGGTGGTGTGTGGCTGATTGAGCAGCCGTCAACGTCATTATTGATGCGGAACCCTCGCATGCAACAAGTCTGTCGCCGAATGCAGGCGTGTTGCGTTTACCCGAGTTGAGTTTCTGCCTTTTTGCTTCAAGTTTCCATGCGGCGTGCGCTTTACCTAGTTCAGTGATTGTTTCATTTCACGCTGGGCGCGCTTCTCTCGCAGGTGTGGCGGCAGGGCTTTTGGATGCGGCTCTACGGTGCATTCACATTGAAGCGAACTAGAACATGGTCAAACTCTAGAGGGGTTCGTCATCTCAAGATGGGCAAGATTAAGCGTCACCAACGTGTTAATGTGAAGGAACGATTGGCTGAAGTCGGCGTCTCCAAAACTGGCCAGAAGAATTACCATGGGTCCAAGAAGTTAAAGAACAGCCAGAGCCTAGACGTGCGTGAAGACAAACATACACATGCATGTATGGATCCTATTAGCCAACAGACCCTAAAATTATGGTAGCTGTGACTTTTTCATTCCAGATTCAATTCATACAACCCTACAAAAAAAGAGCACTAATCCAACAAAATTCTTCTTAATTTTAGGGTCTCTTGGCCTATCTTCGAACTTGTGTAATGGTGTGCATCCTTTTGTCCCCAAGCGTTTGGCGATCATGCTAGTGCATCGACCGCTGTCTCAGGATATATCCGTCCCCATTTGGAGTGCGGGTTTCCTATATCTATGAAGACTCGCTGGCTGAAAGGCCAGCGTTGCCTGCTGTCCCAAAGGCGCTTCCTTTTGACAAGGTTGATTTGAGGTTGGCTGGGGTTACATATGTGAAGAGGTTTGTTCATTTTAGCTTAAGGCGTTCATCTTCCTGCATGCAGGTCTCAATGATGGAGATTGCGACTGCTGTTACAATGGAGCCATCATCGGATTTTGATGATGTGTGGAATGATGCTGGCATGGGGTCTGTTTGTCAATACCTCCTCCAAAAAGTGGAGAAGCTACACCCTTGCCCGGAATATGTTTCGCAGGTCGTGTCACAGCTTCCATGGGAGAGGTTCTTCAATGAACCCTGTTAATTTGAAGGCTTGATCCAAGGTGGATCCATGCGTGTGATTAATTAATACAGCTTATGTACACACGCTTGCGCAGTTTCAAAAATCTCAAAAAATCCGCCACTTTTGCGCAGTTGCACATTTCTAGCGTTGTTTTTGCAGAAACAGAAAATCTACCACTGACCCGAACAGTTCCAAAAAAATCCAAACAGTGGCGTAAATATCCGATCGTTTTGTTTGGTTTCAATTTTATCCCCTTTTGCGCACTTTGGCGCGCTCCTGCGCACTTTCAGGTATAGGTGGCCCCGCAGGCCATACTGTTGCTCACCGCGCCCGGTTCATATATAGTGACCATGCCGCGATCTGCCCGTGAAACGTTAGATGCAAGTCAATCTTTTTTGGATGAGCAGGGGAACCAGGTCAAAACCGAGAGTGACATCTTGGAATTGATCCAGGCGAGGTCGAGGTATGAGCCCATTTTTTAGAGATCATACCTCATTCTTTTATGGATGTATATTGCCTTAATTATATGAACGTATATTGCCCTGGAATGTGTTTGGCAGTATGTGTGTGTGGGGGTGGCTGCAGGCTGCCAAACAACAACTTGAAGAAGTGGACGCCGCGCGGTCGGACTCCATCGTGGTTCTCTCTGCCAAGTTGGCCCCACCTGTTGTGCCTATGGAAGCTCAAGTGGAGGAAGCGAATTCTGAGTCTGAGCTATTTGGACCTGAAACGGATGGTGATGGTCAAGTCCCTGAGGCTGAAGCCCCTGAGATTCCCAATGAAACAGGTGATGATGCTACGCGCGCTGCTTTGAAAGGTTCGTGGTTGGACCGAAGGGTCTTTGAACCAAGTGATGGTGAGAGTCGTGAGAGTGCACCGCCCAAAGACGCACACACCTCTACATCTACTGCAGATGAAGATTCATCTGTAGAACGAACCTGTACCCTCTTCAACCTCAGACCCATATATGATGCTCGACGGCGTGGAAACTGTCGAAGATAGCTTGGACGTCGATGAGCTTCTCATGGACTGTGAGGCGCCTATAGGGTTTTGCCGTGGCAGTTAGTATTATATGCGTGTGATTTCCGTGCTACCTATATGCATCAGGTGTATTGGATATACATGTTATTAATGTGCTGCGGAAAATGTAACAGCTTATGCCAGGCTGAGGATGATATGCTGCGCGAGAGCCTGATGAAGCTTTCCTTACTCGGTGGTAGTGGTGCAAAGGAGAGAGGGAGGGATAGAGAGAGAGAGAGTGATGGAGGGAGAACAATCTTAAGTACCTTTTGCATGTATGTATGAATGGAATCTTTTCACCCAGCGAAAGAAAAGAACTTATAGAAGAACTCTTCGCTCACGTGTGAGGAGGCCCCGGCGGAGTCGCAGCGGAAGAAACCTGCTGTCCAGGACTTGCCTCCAAATTGACACGTGCTGTACGCAAAACGGGGAATCAAGAGTTGAAATGAGATCACCACTTCATGACCTTAAAACACTCGTGTTCTAGTCCAAGAACCTCATTTGAGATGCTGGTATCTGTGACTTAGTATATGGGTTTGTGATGAGGCTGACCCCCATCATTGCGTATATATGTTTTCTATATTGCTCCTCCTTGAGGGTCTCTCTATCTCTCTATTATAGAGCGTTTTATATTAAAATACAAACCCATATACCATCTCAACAAAAATCTTCACGCGAAGCGGACTCCAGGAAGAGACCCCGGCAGTGCACGTGGCCTCGGCCAATGTCAATGCCGCCGTTCAAGCTCTTCGTCGGATCTGCTTGCCCAAGCCGGGCTCAGGGCATAGGGATGTTCCAAAAGAGGTTGAAGCTAAGTTCCGGATGCGAGGGGCAGCCAGGGATGCTCTTGTCGACATGTATATCAATGAGTGTGGGATGGACAAGGCCCGGTGGGAACTAATTCTCCCCTACACAAAACTCTTTTGAATTCCAGATTTGAAAGTTCTACTGCCTCACCTCACTCAATGGATTGTGACATCGTCAGGCAAAATTTGTCAAAATCGTGACAAAGCGGTACAAGCGGTCTCGCAAGGGGTCCTTCAAGGTGAAGGCAGCATTCTACACGGAGAAGAGTATGAAAGAGAAATTGGGATTTGGTCCGTCTTTGCCTCAGCCCAATGCCAAATGAACTTGAATCTAAAAAACCTGACCGCGCACCCTTCTTTCTATGTGCTGCAGCATGTGTTCTAAGGGCCCGGATTGCTGCGATTGTCAAGTACTGCGCCGACAAGAGCCGGAGGGCGACCCATCGGATCAAGGACAAATACGAGAAGGACGTCTACAAGTACTGGGTGGAGGAGGATATGGAGGCAGAGTTTGTTGAGGCGGAGGAGGAGGAGTCAGTGGAGGAAACCAATGCTCACTCTTCTCAGAAGATGCGAAGGGTGAAGGCTAGACTGGGTATGGGTATGGGACCATGCCCCGCTGCTCTGGCTGATGGGCCCGCTGAAGACAGCGAAGCTGAGAGTGGTGATGAGAAAGAGGAAACGGACGTCGAGGACAACAGTGAGAAGAAGAAGAAGAAGAAGGCCAACAAGAAGGGCAATGATGGGGGGCCTAAAACCAAGCCAAAAGTCAAAAATGAATGCGTCGCAGAGGACTGTACTGGGTAAAACTGTTCTGCAGTGTGTCTCGTCCCACCATTTTGCCAACTCACAACACCCTTTTCCTCCAGGACCCAGATGATATCAAGCCTTGCCTGGATGAACTCTTGAAAGAGCAAGGCAAACTCGATGCGATCCTGAAGAAGATGGAGGCTGGAAAAACACTGAAGAAGATTTGGGTTCACCATTCCATGTTTCACTTTGCGTTGGACCAATCCCAAATTCCAAATCAGGGGGGCGGCCGGAGATGATGCGAAGAGGTCTCTTGAAGTTGAAACATGAACTTGGTGGTGTACATAAATATATATATATA